CGAGAGCAGATTTCCCCTTTGCCCGTACTTCTTCATGATGCCGATCTCCTTGTACGATCGTTCTTGATTCCAGTCCTCGCACATACTATCCAGAAGGTATTCGAACTGCAACAGACGTGTCACACAGTTGCAGAAAAATGACAAGGTAGAAAATAAAGATCGCGTGCATCCTCTCACCTTATCTGTATTTACAATGTAGTTCACCTGCTTGCATAGCAGCAACACTAGCGGGCAGAAGAATGGCGTCTGTTCTACTATCATGTCCACGGTAAGGGTTTGCAACATCCTTGCTAGCTGTATTAAGGAAGCATCGCGACATTTACACTCTATTCTGTCACTCGACATTGTCTTCTTAGTATGTCGAAACAAGTTACAGAAATTAGATGTTACGAGGGTTTGTTTGTGATCTGGAGCAGTAGTTGTGTGAACGAAGAGGGCAAACAACCCTGTACGGAAAATTAGAAGGTAGCGAGCCAAAAGCGAGAACTTGGAATGTTGAAAGATGAAGAGTGAGGAAGATCGAGAGACTTTGCAACTATCGTTACAGTACAGTTAGTTAACGCTTTGTATTCCCGAAATTACCGAGTAAAAACCTACTTGTTCATCCAGAACTCCTACGATCTACTATTTATCGGTGAAATTCTTAGAGACAATTGTCTCAAGAAAATTCCTACCCCTGATACAATTACACTTTTCACACGTTCTATTGTATTGTAAATAATGGAATATCGTATAAATCCAGTAAAGCATGACAGAGTGAACATTTATGTTAACGTTACGTGTGTACCTGAGCGAGGAGCGAACTGATGATAACCATGATCCCACGGTCCAGATTTCGCAGTTGAACATTCGCGAAAAAAGGGGAGAGAATTCTCCCGCGGTTAATTCTCAAGCGGTTCAATTAAGGTACGTGGCGGCTTGTCGGCACTTTATTACATGCACGCAGCCACCTATGACGTCTATCGTGCACAACAAGCGGCAGAATTTACCAGCATGATTTATTGGAAACGTCGGTCACGTGCAAGTAACGAATATCCTTTTCTTCCCGTAGGAGGATACAACGTGTACGATAATTAGAAAAAAGAATAGAAATATATGGGGAAGTTCATTTTCGAATGATCGAAGAGAACGCGGTTGGTAATTCAACTGTATCTATTTTTAAGCAAATTTACAAGTATATCATACATATATGTTTGTACTATTTCGTTCATTGCGTGCTCTCTACTTTTACTTGGTCTGCATCACCGTGTAGTAGGAAACAGATGCTTTGATGATCTGTAAGGGAACGTTTAAATTTGTTCAAATATTCTCCAACAATAAGTACCTTTCGCTACCTGTTTAATGTTAATCGTTAAATCACCTCTGCGAACGATCGTAGATTCAACGTCGTCATCCCACCAGCTGTTAACAGAGGTGGGTTTAGGCAGCTTCTCAATGCCAATACATACAACGCTTGTGTTCTAGGAGTGAAATTATACCACTGCGATTCGTATCTGCAAAGGACAAGGAAGAATTGAGGAAAAATTCGAACCTGGAGAGATTCTTGGTCAGAAAGTGTATCAGGTAACGTAACAGGAAATTTTAGTATGAAGTATACAATACTTACATCTTGTCGTACAGTTCGTCGAACGCGTTTATCACAAATTGTCCCTGGACGTTCAAAAAGAAAACGTGAAACGCTTGGCCGACGAAAAACGTTCCGTGCACAACCTTCAACTTTATGTGTATTATCATTATCATGTAGTATTGCTCAGGATCCATCCAGTAATAGGCTGGATAAACGAACACACGTTTTCTCGTTTTGTTCAGTGGCGCGCAAATGTCCAAGATGATCGGTGCGAAAGGCACGCATAAGAATATGGCCGCGGGAAGGAACAAATGCGCTGTAGACGTCAAAGGAGAAATAAGGTAATTTCTCTGGGTAATTTCATTCTCCATCTCACCTGCGTAACACAACGCGATCAGTTGTCCTTTTCGAGCATAGGTCACCATGATCTTGCATTCCGTCTCAGATGTGATCGACGTCCAGTCGTCGAATATCTGTTCCACCATCGACTTTAACTGTAATTTCAACGTGTCGAGAGGAATTGAAAAAAGGGTTAGAGGCGAATGTGCATGGTAAAAGTGTCGCGACATGTCAGTTGATAAGCCACTGAAAGGAAGACTCTTTCTGCAAAAGTTTCAGTTCCACTGTTAGGGTAGCTGAAGATAGAAACGTGATTTACAATTTAAGCTCCATTTTTTTGCTGTTCCACTCGACGAAAAATTATGCAAAAATTCAGAGATACTATAGACAGTGGGATACGTGTCTGGGAATTTTTCACATTTTATAGCAGTAACGAAATTTGATAAATTGACAAGTTTGGAAATATCGATTTTCTATTGAAATTATCAAGTGACTTCCTACTATCGATAGGAAGCCATTTTAACACGTTCACCGTGTAATTTTTCTGGTGCGCAGAAATTATCTGAGTCACGGGCATTTTTTTTAATTCGGCCGGTCAAATAACTAATCGAAATTCGGTAATCAATCGCAGTCACGCTTCCACCAATCAAGTTTCTTCCTCTGAGATCCACAGCGAACGTCCCGTATGTTTCATTCAAATTTCTCGTTCAAATCGTCCCGTGTGCTTTTCTCAAAAGTACCATCGAACGTTGTTCCCTTACCTTCGTTTCGTTTATAATGTAATTACCCAGTTTCACGAACGTCCCAACCGCTGCCACGTTGAAAGGTATGCCATCCACGAGATTGTCCATGCTGAAGAATAGCACGGTGTTTGCTATCTGCAATCAAACACGATATGCGTCGTGTTTAAACGTTCCTTTCGATTGAACCTACCGTACCTGTGTAACAATGGAAGATGCCATTAGAAGCAAAGAAAGTATTTGCGTGATCAGTTTCCTTCGAGAGTTCTGACGAGGCCAGACACCGCATATCAGTCCAAGCACTTTGTTCAACTTCATAAATCGTTCTTCGACCGTTTCTGCGTACATAATCGTAACAGCGAAATTAGTCAAGCTGGTTCTACGATATATTTCTCTTGTGTGTCTGCCATAAGTTGAAGAGAATCGGTAGGATGAAGATTGTCAGGAAAATAATCGCCTATCGTATATTCCGTGTGCTTACAGACTAATATCGCAGAGGGTTTAGTTCAATAATTTCTGAAACGACCAGAGCACGATCGTTACACGAGCAACCGATTCTCGATCATTTATTAAACCGCCTTTTTGAAACGGAGAAACGACGCTTTCGTCAAGATCATCCGAAAATTGCACTATTTGAAGCTCGTTAGAAAGTTCAGTACTCTACTCTCGCAAAGTGAAAAGCACTTATATCTGATTCAGAAGCGGTATAGCTTGCATTAAATATTAACAGTTAAATGGTTCCTTCTTCGACGTTAGTCTTCGGCAGTCTACCTGTTACGTACCGCGCAGGAAATGTTACGGAATATACATACGTACTTCATTTTCCGGCAGAATTTCTTGCGTTTGGTATTTCGTTGCGTTTGCACCGCAGGTGAATGGCATGGAAATGCATTTGAAATTCTCCGTGCCTTTTATCGCAATATGTTGAATCACTTGGTCGACAGAACTGTTCCTCGTGTTCACGAAAAGTACCAAGTGGGAAACAGAATAATCCGTCTACGTTACGTTTCGAAAATATGGGTGAGTTTTTACGTTCGAAATTTTATTGAACAAGTATTTGAAAAAAATTGTCAAACAGTTCAAGTGTTACATTGTATAAGTGGACAAGTAAGAGTAAGTAGAAAGTATTAATTTATTATATGTTTAGGGGTTTGTTACGTTTTATTACATGCATACGAATAACACCACAATATGTAAACACGCACGACAAGTATAGCAACACATACGTAATAACGAGTACAGTAGAAAAGTTTTGTAAAAAATCAATGGCACATTTAACGGACAGGGTGATTCATAAATATGTACATATGTAAGAACGAGGGAAAATTTGTTTGTATTTGCCTGTAATGCAAACAACAGTATCCTTTTTATATGAATCATCCCGTACAGTTTTAACCTAACTCAACGATTATACGATAGACTCATTGAATCGATTTTGTTTGTATTATTATCTCGTCAATTCACATCGAATACATTTATACAGCGGAAGTGAATATTCTTCAGCCACGTATAGATTGTGCCAGTTATCACGGTAATATCGACAAAATTATGTCAGTATTGAAGTTCTACCGTTCATTTCGATTGCATCACCGTATAGTAAGACACGGATGATTTTATAATCTGGAAGGAGAATCTTGTATACACGGTGTAAAATGTTTTAATGAGTCCGAGTAATCTTGTATTTGTCGCCACGTTACCTCTGAGAAGGTCTTTAAATTCAACGTTATAAATCCACCGGCGGTTAACAAGGGAGGGTTTAGGCTACTCCGTAACGCTAATATGTATAACGCTTGCGTTTTGCACGAAGAATTGTACCATGTCGATTCGTATCTGTAAACGATAAATTTTCATATTTGGAGCTTCGAATCTTCTAATTCAAACTTTCGCATTCAAATTCTCAAATTATTTAATTTTAACTTTGGCAGTCATATTTTAAAACTTAGGGTTTTAAATTATCGCATGCAAATGTTCCAATTTAGATTATCAAATTCTCAAATTTTTGCCCTCAAATTTTTCTCTTCAGCCTTTCACACACAGGTTATCAAATTTCGAATTTGAAAACAATATATTTCTTTCACGGTCAAGGTTAGCTGCGACCATTTCTCCTCCTAAATCCGTATTTCACATTTCGTTTAAGTACTCACATCGTATTATAAACATCGTCGTACGCGTCCAACACGAACTGCCCCTGAACGACTAAGAACAGCATGTGTAACAACTGGGCCGTGAAGAACGTGCAGTACAATGTCCATTCTGCGTCGTGTTCGTGTTCTGATATCTAGATTCATGTAAATTGATCACGAGCTCGCCACTATTAAATATCGAAAAAAAAAAAAAGAAAAGTGAAGCTGGTATAATGAGTCGAGTCACCTGCAACAACGAAGTGCTGATGCTCATCATCAGCAGTCCCACCGAGATGAACATGCAAGTATCGTGAGCGGCCGTGATCTCTTTCACGTATCTGAATCAAAACTAACAATTAATTGCTGAAAAAATAACCAAAAAGATCCAACCGTGAAATTTTGCAGTCTGTAATAATAATAATAATAATAATACCGACTGTAAAGCACGTTGATGTATTCGAATCGAATGACAAACATTTCTATACATCTTTTTCATCATCTTCACAGCTTCCTTCTCATCCTCGGGTATTACCTCATAGCACGCGTATTTAAAACGATATCTACCAAAAGACAATTGTTTTCAGCTAAACAAAAGCCAACGAAATTTCTATAAAGAAAACCATTTTCCATTAATTGTCCTTGAACTAATTACCCTGCAATGGCCAACAATCCGCAAGCGTGTTGCACGGCGTACACGTAATTGGCATCGCAGGCGCAGAAAACAGAGATAAGCATTACCACTACAAGATACATATGCCCTACGATCAAGTAACGATATTTGTCCTCGTCGACGAAATAGTAAGCTGGATAGACGAACAACCGTGCTCGCGTCTCGTTCAACGGCATAAGGATGTCCAGAATCGGCGACACGAACGGCAAGCACATAAATAGAGCGGCGCATAACGATATATGCACTTTTTCAAACGTGAAACAGAATGACAGAGAACGTTCTAATTACACGAATTTCTTCATCTTTGAAATATAAATTTATCCTTCTCTTACGAATATAGAGTATGACACTGAAAATCCCTTTCTCCGCGTATTTCGTCATGATCTTGTACTCATCCTCCGACGTCATGGCTCTCCAGTCTTCGTAGATCTTTCCAAGAAGATATTTCAGCTGAAATTTCGAAGCTGGTGATTTGATTGAGTTAAGAAGACACGATGGAGAGTATTGCACTTACCTCTGATTCGTTTATGAAATAGTTACCAAATTTGATGATTACCCCGAGCGAAGTTATCAAGTAAGGATAATCGTTTAGTATGATATGTATCCTGGGAAAAGTGACGATCCTGGCATACTGTAAAAATTAGAGTGAAAAAAACAACCACTTTTCGTTTGGGGAAGAAAGATAATCCTTATTTTTTCTACCTGTGTAACGTAACAAGGTATTATTACAAAGAGCACTACGGTTCGACTGATCCATTTTGGCGAGCTCTTTTGATAGGGCCACACACCGGTTAGCATGCCGAGCTTCTTGTTGATTCTCAAGTAACGTTTCTCTAACGTGATCGCATCCATTGTCAAAATGAAACCAGCGCGACGAACGTTCGACGAATATATGCGCGACGGTTCGTCAGAGAAATCGACGCTAAACGAAGAAGAAGATAGGCAAAGAAAAAAAAATAGAAGGAAAAGAGGAGAATTGCTGAGGACCTATAGCTTCGCTACGTGGCACGTCATGATTTGTTTAAACAACTACGAGGAGACGGCGGAGCGAGCCGTAATTGTGTATCGTTATAGAAGAAATCTCAAAGTAGCATTCAACCGTGCAATTTTTCCTCTAAACGATCCCTATTGGATTACGTGGACTTGGTTCGTGCGTGTCTGGCCAATGATGGTTTATACCCCTTTTCGAATGCGTCTCACTTTATTCTCGAGTGCTTTCTATATAGATTTCATTTCCCTTCTGCGTTCAGCTAGAGAGTCTCGAGAATGTCCGAGTAACAGAACGTACGAATCTGTTGTTCGAAAGGTAGGCATGGAAATTTGCAAATAAAACGTGTTGTGAATAGATACACCCTTTTAGATGTACAACTGCACTGCTTTACATTTCTGATCCACTGGAGCTTGTCAATGCAATATCAGTACCGCGAAATAGGAGATTGAAGTTTTTAAAGTCTAGAAAATTTTTTGGTAAACCTTTGGATACTATTCTGTAAGATGGAACAAAGTGTCGCGTTAATTATTGCACTTATATTCGGAAAAGTTTCCAAGTTCGGTGAAACGAGATCACGATATGGATGTTGCATACACGATAGTAATTACTTCAATACAGTTATCTCAGTTTTGTTTGGTATTAGTTGAGGCGATGCCATTAGGCAACTGCATTAACGATAGTTGGCTTACCATCTAAAGGGCTAAGAGTGAGCTACGTGCCGGAAGTGGTTTTACATGTTCCCATTTTGACTACAGTTCGCAAACGATACTACTGACGGATAGAAGCATCTTCGAATTGGTCACAGATTTTGCTTCACGATTTGGTCCAATTTTCTACTCTGTTCACGGAGGATCTAATAAATGGTCGCAGTAAAACAATTATAGAAAATAATTTGGTGAGTAAAGCGATACATCTTTTGACCGGTTAATATATTTCTAAAAAATATGTGATTATTATAGCGTATACGTTTGAATAATTCTTTATACTGTCCAATTGCATACAGATAAAAGAATTATTAACAAATTCTTCGCGTGTTGAACACTTCCTTTCATTTCAGTTGTCAATTCCTGGTTGTTTATGTCGATTTCATGACCGTGAAAAAGGAAACGGACCCTTTTAATATCTACAAGCATTTCTCATCAGACATCCACCTTTTTTCTGTTCCAATTGCAATTGTATATAGCGTTAATTGCTGCACCTACCTCCGCGAAAGTCTCCAAATTCAAGGAGATCAGTCCTCCGGCAGTAATCAGCGGTGGAGTCAAGTTCCTTCTCAAAGCTAGCACGTATAAAGCTTGCACTTTCGGTGTACCGTTGTACCATGTAGCGCTGTATCTGCGAACGAGCAACTTCTGAACGTTTTGAAGTGGAACAAAATGAAATTAAGGACACACCGGTTACTTACATATTATCGTAAGTCGTGTCATGCGAGACTATAACGAAGTGTCCCTGGATAGAAAGGAAAAGCAAATGTACCAGTTGCACCACCAAGAAACCGCAATACTTGTAGAACTCCACGCAAGGGTTCATCGTGGATACCTAATTTCAAACGCTCTATCGTATACAGCGGATCGATTCTTTTCGAAAGATCGTAAATTCAGGATTAACTAACCCTGACTAACGTGATACTGAATGACATCATAACCATTCCCACTGCTATGAAGAGGTACGTGCCATGAACTTGTTCAATTTCTGTAATATAACTGTTTTGGACATGCGTTGAGTAATAATGATAAGATAGTGCGTATATTTGTCGAAATCAGATTCGAACGATATCTGTACGATCGTACTAACTTTATGGCGTGCTGGTGTGCCTTAACCGAGTGGCATACCCTTGCATACGCTTCTTCCATCACGAAGGCATGTTTCGCGTTACTCTTCTCTGCTGCAATTGCCCACTTGAAGCGATGTCTGTGAAAAAAGTTTCATTTCCTATTCACGGTATGAATCCTTTGCGGTCGCATTCAGCTCAGAAATGGGTGACGAACTGGACGGATTTCATTTTCATCGATCGTCCATTCGTAAATACAAAATTTACTATTTCTTTTTCATCGTTTCCTACATTTAATGCTATAATACGTGGTTTCATTTGGTATAAAAACTATATTTTACATTTCTACGTCGTGTGATCAATCGATCATC